TTTTTACAGCGTGAGCACAAACAATGCATTGTCATTGACAGAGGGGTCGTGTACAAGATGCACAGTGTTTACTGTGTACACAAATATACAGTATAAGTACACACTTCCCCACCTTGAGTCATCAAAGAAGCCCGAGCATCCAAAACACAACGGGAGAAAAACTAATCCCCGGTTCTCTGTTGTCTATAAATAACTGTTCTGTTCTTGTTAATCTGAGGAAACAAGCGGGAGCTGTAAAACAGAGATGGCTCATTTCCTGCGAAGCTTCACTGTGATGGATTTATGACGACGTGATATTAATGATTGTGTTTTCATTAACTGGAACAAACACCTATCAACTCCGGCTCCAGGGAGGGTTCTCTGACTTTTTATGTTGAACCTGTGATTTCACTGCATGTGTAGGATTCAATCTACAGCAAAGACTAACTCACATATTTATAACATGCACACACACACACACACACACACACACACACACACACACACACACACACAGCCAAAACCTCAGTTTTAACCAAAACACTGCCACCTTTTGACTAATTTTTAATATTTGTTGAAATACATTTTCATTCCATTTGTGCTTCTGTCCTGTGTGTTCATATGCAAACGGTCCCTTCATGCCTGCTCTCTTTTTTATTCCCACCTGTCTCTCTCTCCCATCCCTCCCTCCGGTCTTCGGACTGAATGGTTGCGTTGGTGAAACGGCGACTTCATTGATTTTCAGTACATCTTTCTTCAGCTTGAGGCCCCGTAGCCAGACCTGAGTTATAGGACTTCATAATGTATTGATTAAAACTCTGTCATATTGACTGAGGACTGTGGGGACTGGACGCCAGCATCAAGACGAGAGGCAGCTCTCGGTCACTCTTCTGGATGCCGAACACAGTCGACCTCAAATTGATCACGTGTTGTTGTTCTATTTACACTTGAAGTGAAACCTCTTCAACGTACAAGCATCGACTTGATGGTCCAGTATTACAAATACATTGTGATCGGCCACCATCAAAATGTGACATTATAGATGCAGAGACAACTGGATATCGCATAAGAAGAAATTCATTTTTGTCGGTTGTTGATTAAATTAGATTCATAAATTGATGCACATGTGGAATATGGAGAATATGAATGATACCAAAGTAACTATATTTTTGAGATATTGACATAGTACATTAAAAAATCATCTTATATATATTAAATTAATGCTATAGAGCTTTTAGCTTTGACAGTTTCATGGCTCACGTCAGTCTGTTGGGCTCCACTTTGCAAGGTGAGGCCGCCATCTTGTGTCTGTGACGTCATGAGGAACCAGACTGGTTGTCTAAGCTAAAACCAACATGAGCAGTTGAACATCAGGGTGATAACAATGAACTAAAATTCACAGAAACCATCTTTGAGAACGCATCTTTGAGTTTGGTCCATGTCCCACCTGCTAACATGGAGGAGGCTCAGTTTTTAACCTGTATTTCCAACTCTTTGGCTTCACTTTTGGGGAGATGTCATGTTGCCTATCTCTATAAACATTATGTGAGTTGGAGGTTTAATTCAAATCAGGTGAGAAGAAGAAGAAATGTATCCTCCCTGTGTCCACCACACAACAATCCTTCCATAACAACAGACCAAGGTATCACTCCGCCATAGAACTATCATCCGTCCACACTTTTTAAGATGTGAGGTTTTCAGATCTCTGACTGCAGCGACACAGGTCACAGTTAAATCTGTTTCAGACAGTCTATGATTTTAACTGGTTCAAACTCTATTCTATACCCTGCTCTTCTCTGCCGTTTGCCCCCAAACACGAGTTACACGTTCTCGTCAACATGAGCACAACACACTAATGGGTTTGCTTCTCATAAACGCTGCAGGAAATCAGCAGCTCCTTCGCTTTCCTGATCACAAAGCTCTGACCACACGACACACTCTGAAGTCTGAAGTTAAAATCAAAGCTTCACAGTTGGTTGAAGTTATGAGTCATCCTCAAACTTTCCTCTGTGAAATGTCAACAGCTTAAAGAGCAGGAAGTTCTATATTTTGAAAAACGAAAGTTCTACCAATGAATGGATTTCAGTCACGCAGACGAGATGGAACATGTTGAGATGAAACGCTTCCTGTGCAGGATGATGATGATGATGATCTAAATTTAAAACACTTCTAGGTCACAGCAAACAGTTTGAGTCGTCAGAGAAATGTCAACCAGGACACACATTTTAGCATCTCCAGGTTTTTGAAAAAGGGGAAATATCTGTGATGTAGGAAAATACCATGATGTATGGATCAGCTCCTGTGGCAACATTAGGTGTAAACTAGTGTAATTCAGTGCAGATTCAAACAATAACAATGTCTATATTAGTGAATTAAAATCACAGTATGTGTTTATTCTGACTTGGTGTTTGTATGACTGGAAAATACTTGAATTGTCTGTAAAATGTTCTGGATTGCAGTTATTTAATTTAATTTGTGCTCTCATTGTTAAAAAAACATA